ACGGATCTGAATTTATCCCTCACAGTTCACTTCTTACATACCCATTTATACTTTTTCCGAAAAACTCTTGGAAATGTGAGTGATTATAGCATATTTTAATAATAACAAGTAAGAGTGCTATATTCGGCTGTGCCGAATCTTATCGGCACAGCCGAATATTTTTAAATACACTTCACCATAGTGTATTTAAAAATTTATTTTCCCGACTATCATTATTCATTCATTTTCATTACAACAACGCTAAACGAAATAAACACACAAAAAACAAAATACACAAGGCAGTAAAACCAACAGACATCCAAACATACGAAACGGAATACAGAAAAAAAACAAAAACAAAATACACAACGCAATGAAACCAAACATAGGAAATTCAATACACCAAGAAAACAATGAAACACACAGCCATTCAAACATAAGAAATTGAATGTACCAAGAAACAAAAACAATATACACAAGGCAACGAAACACACAGCCATCCAAACATACGAAACAATATACTCAAAAAAACAAAACACAAAGGCAATGAATAAGCAGTGTTGTTGTTGTTTATTTTTTATGAAAATTTCAGAGGTTGTCTCGGATTTTTGCTTATATCTCCGTTGTTTATGAACGGATTTTGCTGATTTTAAATAGGAAACTTCTCGAAAGCATGTCTGATAGAATTATTGAAGATTTGGATCCCGAAGATATCTGGGGTCTTCAGAAAACTGATTTCAACAGACAGACAGACAGACAGACAGACAGGTCTTTTTATGCCATAATTACGTCAAATATACTATTATCTCCTCAAAAATGATACTGCAGATTTTCGTAATGAAACCCCCCATAAAAATTGACTTGTAACCATTTGTTTCGCAATGAAACTCAACAAAACTAACTGTTATTTACAAATATATCCTTTTCCCAAATTTATTAAGCATCCGCCCATGTTTGACCAATACTTCTATATAAAGCCTCATTTATAAAATTTGTTTTTTTATCAATAAATTGCTTACTTTGGAATTAAAGCAAAATTCAACATAAAAGTTTCATTATGAAAAATAAAAATTTTTTAAATATACTCATGGTGTAGGGTATTACATGGTCGGCCATGCCCGACTATACTTTCCTACTTGTTTTTAATTGTATTTTTATAAACCAAAGTAGAACAGCAGATAAGGGTCGTTCAATATTCGCAAGTTTCGCATTTTTTTCAAAAGTAAAGATACGTTTAGAGTATCAAATAAGTCTCGTGAACATCAAATAGTAAAAAACTACGATGGAATACATTTTACCATCCCTGTAACGAAACACATATTCCTATATTAAATAATGGATATTCCAAATTTTTTTTTTGCGATTCTAATCTTTTATTTTTAGTTTATCTTTATTGATTAAGCAATAAATACAATTGAGTTTTTACTAGTTGTAATACCTTTGTTAGACAAATAATGTTTCGAAAAAAGATAATATGTATGTGTAAAAAGTTGCCGAACCAATTTTTCAGCAACTCGTGGTAGAAGTCAATGTGTAAAACTGTATTCATGTACAGCAGGGTGTCCCGTGGACCATTTTTCTGGAGGAATACCTCTGAAACGATGCGTTTTAATGTACTAAATACGAGAAAATTAAAAAAACTATTTTTTTTTTTGAAAAGGTCCTCAGTTCCCTACCAGCGATTGAAAATCTTGATCTCAGTACAATATGTTCAAAAAAATTTTATGCAATCTTTTCGAAATGGGTCTCAAAAATTCCGTAATTTTGAGCTTATCGCGGGCACTGTTGCCAATTTAGCTATTTTCTCGTCAAATCTAGAGATTTTTAATCCCATTTTGCGGGGAAAAATATGATTTAGCTAATAGCGGGAAATCTAGGGATTTTTCTTTAGATTTTAAGGCATTTTGTATTCATTTATATTTTGATAATTTCGCTTAAAAGTTGCTACGAATGACGATATTTACATATATGTATGTATGTATATAAAAATATGCATTCAATGTAAATTATTTGAGTTTTAGCTGTGTGTATTATACATACTTATTTTGAATGTTCTGAAGAACATAATTAGGAACAAATATTTGTGCGTACAGGTAAAGTTATACGAAAAACTTTAAAAGGGGTATATTTTGTTATTCTCAATTAAAAAACGAATATTTAATTATTCTAGTCTTTTAGTAAATGAGTGATATGATAATAAAATTTACCATAATTCTAAAAACAATTAAGAAAGTATAGTCGGGCGTGGCCGACCATATGATACCCTACACCAGTTATGAATATTAAATGTGATTTATTTTTCATAATAAAGCATTTATCTTCAATATTCCCTTGTTCCGATACATTTAAGCAATTTATGGATGAAAAACTAATTTTTTGAAAGAGGCTTTATATGGGGGCTAGGGGCAAATATGGGCTAAGCCCGATAAAATTTTGTGAATATATTTATATTTACATAATATTTTATTGTGCTAAATTTCATCGCGATATTTGTGTTTATAAGTTAATTTGGGACATTCAAGTAATTTTCTGAAGGGGACTTTGTATGGGAGCTAGGGTCAAATGGGGCCCGATCTTTATGAAATTTGGCAGGGTCATCCAGACTTCTATAAAACTTAGTTGTGCCGCATTTTATCGATACATCTGTATATTTAACATAATTATGAGCTCAAAAGCCCTTTTCGGGGGATTCTGTTCTATGGGGGCTAGGTGAAATAATGGACCGATTTTAACCATTTTCAATAGGCTTCCTTGGGTCAAATAAAACGTGCGTGCCAAATTTCATCCAATTATCTTGAAAATTGCGACCTGTACCTTGCGCACAAGGTTTACATGGACAGCCAGCCAGCCTGCCAGACGGACGGACATAGCTTAATCGACTTAGAAAACGATTCTAAGCCGATTGGTATACTTTAAGGTGGGTCTAGGACGAATATTTTTGTATGTTACAAACATCAGCACAAATCCAATATACCCTCCCCACTAAAGTGGTGTAGGGTATAATTAGTGAACATTGGAAATAAGTGACGAAAGGATCGATCCATAAAGTCCTAAAAATTTACAACATTTTTAAGGCGTATAGGGCCGCATATCGATATTACAGATAAACTTCCCACAAAAGGAGTGTATAATAATAATCTTGGGTGCCCCGGTAGGCTAGTTGGTAGTGTGCTAGCCTGTCAGTCTGGGGGTTGTGGGTTCGATTCCCAGAAAATAAAGGATCGATCCATAAAGGCCAGAATTTCGAAATTCAATTTATTATGACGATTTATCGTATGTATGTATGTATGTATGTATGTATGTATGTATGTATGTATGTATGTATGGTATGTATGTAGTATGTATGTATGTATGTATGTATGTATGTATGTATGTATGTATGTATGTATGTATGTATGTATGTATGTATGTATGTATGTATGTATGTATGTATGTATGTATGTATGTATGTATGTATGTATGTATGTATGTATGTATGTATGTATGTATGTATGTATGTATGTATGTATGTATGTATGTATGTATGTATGTATATGTATGTATGTATGTATGTATGTATGTATGTATGTATGTATGTATGTATGTATGTATGTATGTATGTATGTATGTATGTATGTATGTATGTATGTATGTATGTATGTATGTATGTATGTATGTACGTATGTATGTATGTATGTATGTATGTATGTATGTATGTATGTATGTATGTATGTATGTATGTATGTATGTATGTATGTATGTATGTATGTATGTACGTATGTATGTATGTTTGAATGTTTGTGTTGAATTTTACTAAACATTACTGTTACAAATTATTATTATATTTCTTTTCAGAATCATATAATAAATATATTTTGACGATTTATCGTATGTATGTATGTATGTATGTACATATGTATGTATGTATGTATGTATGTATGTATGTATGTATGTATGTATGTATGTATGTATGTATGTATGTTGTATGTATATGTATGTATGTATGTATGTAGTATGTATGTATGTAGTATGATGTATTAGTATGTATGTATGTATGTATGTATGTAGTATGTATGTATGTAGTATGTATGTATGTATGTATGTATGTATGTATGTATGTATGTTGTATGTATGTATGTATGTATGTATGTATGTATGTATGTATGATGTATGTATGTATGTATGTATGTATGTATGTAGTATGTAGTATGTATGTGTATGTATGTTTGAATGTTGTGTATGTATGTATGTATGTATGTATGTATGTATGTATGTATGTATGTATGTATGTATGTATGTATGTATGTACGAGTATGTATGTATGTATGTATGTATGTATGTATGTATGTATGTATGTATGTATGTATGTATGTATGTATGTAGTATGTATGTATGTATGTTTGAATGTTTGTGTTGAATTTTACTAAACATTACTGTTACAAATTATTATATTATATTTCTTTTCAGAATCATATAATAAATATTATTTTGACGATTTATCGTATGTATGTATGTATGTATGTATGTATGTATGTATGTATGTATGTATGTATGTATGTATGTATGTATGTATGTATGTATGTATGTATGTATGTATGTATGTATGTATGTATGTATGTATGTATGTATGTACGTATGTATGTATGTTTGAATGTTTGTGTTGAATTTTACTAAACATTACTGTTACAAATTATTATTATATTTCTTTCAGAATCATACAATAAATATTATTTTGACGATTTATCGTATGTATGTATGTATGTATGTATGTATGTATGTATGTATGTATGTATGTATGTATGTATGTATGTACGTATGTATGTATGTTTGAATGTTTGTTTTGAATTTTACTAAACATTACTGTTACAAAATTTATTGCGTTCTTATACATGTTCAAATGAACCGTTAAGACGCTTAAAACTCTATCGCAAAATTTTAAAAAGATTAGATAAAATTAAGATAATGAAATGTGTAGAAATGTAAATACATATTCAAAATTAAATATTTTTACTGAGAAAATACGAAAGTTTTTTTGTACTCACCTTTCCTCTAATTTGTGTAAATATTTCTGTCCAATTTAGATAGAGATACACTCCAGCCAAAATCGTCAATAGACCGATTCCAAGTACTAAAAAACGTCTCAAACAGCTGCATTGCGGCGATGTCATTACGCTCTTGAATGAAAATAAACTAAATTTTTTCAAATAGTGTAAGTCGTTGACCAACCTTGAAGGTGACAGAAGCTATTATATATTCGATTGTGTTTTACTCTTATTATTGTTGCTTTTTAGTAACTGATAAATAAAAAATTAGAGAGTAATATCGTTTATTAAACGAGAAAAGGGAATACAAATAGAGAGTTTCAATTTTACTACTGAACTGATTGTTAGATGGGTATATTTTTTGCTTTTGAATGCGTTTTTACCAGTTAATATGTATTTAAATTTATAAATCGGTCGTTTTTACACAGACATCTGTAACTCCTTTCAAAATATGTATACCTTATTTGTTTTAAGATATTTCCCAAAATTTCTGATATAGTGTGTGCTTTGTCATAAATGTTCTTTTGTTTTTCTTCCACAACTCATATACAATGTAAAAGGTCGCGTCTAACGATATAAACTAGGAATGTAACAAATGCTGGCGTATTATTCGCATTCACTTTTGCATTTCCTAAATCTTACCAAATACTATTTCTTTATCTTCCCACATAATGTATGTACATACTATGTTTGTATGTAACAATATACATACATACAGTGTCTCACATATATATTCGAATTTATTATTTTTTATGAATTACTGTGTTATTTTATGATGCTACTTTAAAAATAATAATGGTATTTAAAATTTTTTAATGAAATTTTATTCATTTATATTATTTTTACAAAATACAAGAAAAAAGTAATAAAAACTCATTAATGGTTTCCAAGAAAATGGAAAAAACCCAAAAAGGGTCATTTCAGGTACTGCGCAAAAATATTCGAATTTTTTCTAAGAACTTTATTAGAATACTTGAACACGTGTTTTATTGCCCATTAATTAACCCATTATGCAGGTAGTGGTTATATGGAATATTTAACATTATATTTTTTGGAAATTTGCATAATTATGTTGTAAATCCTTCCTGTGTAAGCGCTTAAAATGTTCAAAGAAAAAGAGTTGATCAATTCAAATTAAAAAATTAATTTATATCTGTATAATCAAGGCCGATCAAATAAATACATATAGGAAATGTTTGATAGATTCCCATCGACAATATATTTTGTCATTACACGCATGGAACAAAGAATTCCATCGAGTATTTGCCATTATCAAGTCGTCCAAAACTGCTGTCAATACAGGACGACAGAGAAATACTGAGGAAATACCGAAGGAACCTTCATCTATCAGCTCCAAAAATTAACAACGAACTCAGGACAGTCCTGTGAATAAAAATTAGTATCGAAATTGTGCACAAAGTACTAGGGAGCAATAATGTGCATGGTCAAGTACCAAGGTGGAAACCACTCATATCGAAGTTAATCGATGTTAAGTGTCTTGACTCCGCAAATAGACTCATAAGTAAGAATATTGGATTCTGGAAGGAGGTTATCTTCGACGATTAGAACAAATATAATATTTTTGGCTCAGATGGTCGTCAAATGATATGGCGAAAGCTTGGAGATGCCTTAGAATTTTCTAACTTAAAACCAACTGTAAAGGACCCAAGTTGCTCTGCCATATTTTGGGGTTCTGTGTCCGTCCACGGTGTTGGACTGCTAAAGTTTATTATTGTAATTATAGACTAGAAGGTCCACTTGTCAATTTTAGAGCAGAATTTGCATGCTAGTACCACCAAAATGAGGCTACAACCCATTCAATTTATTTTTCAACAGAAAAACGATCCAAAATACACGACCTGGTACGTGAAAATGTTGATCATTTACAACACTAAGTATCGTCTTTCACCAAATTTTTAATGGAGTTAATGTCTGGACTTAAACTCCATTGAAAATTTGTGGTTATATTTACAAGAACAACTTTTAAATCACTCATTATCCTCCAAAACCACCATACGGTTGCTTTGCATGACGAATGGGACATAATAACGCCAGAACTATTCCATAAATTGGTAGAAACGGTCCCACGACGCTTGGAAGTTGTTTTTAAAAATAAAGGCTACTATACAAAACATTAATTTCATTTTAATTATTTATTTTTACTTCATAGTGCTAATCTAAATATGATTTATACAAAAAATTCGAATACTTTTGTGAAGCTATTTTTTGCACTTTTTTTAAAAAAAGTTAAATTAGTTTAAGTAAATTATTTTTTTTTTAATTTTTAAAATGTGGTATAAAATTTAAGGACTGTCTGGACAACATAATAAATTTATTTATTTATTTTTCCCGCAAAATCTATTATAAAATGATGTCTGTTTTCATAATACATTAAATTCGAATACTTATGAGAGACACTGTATGTATATGAATTGCTTGAAATTGGGTCGCTCTTTTGAGTTAAAAATTTGGCGTAAAGCGCTCTAAATCATGATTTCACTTCTGAAAAAGGGTGGAAAGGAAACAGATAGTGATTATCATATGAAAAACAACAACTCTTAATCATCTCACAAAAGATTCCCTTGGACGCTGCCAGTTTCGCAAATGGGCATATGGGTGACTCTATGAAAATAGTTTATCGAAAATCTTTTCATGTCATTCACTACCAGCGTGGCCGTTTTGGGCTTTTCCTACCAAATTTGGTAGGATTTTTATCATTTGATAATTTATATAATTAGTGAAATAACAAAATTTAGTACAACGATTTACTCACTTTTATACACTGTTTTAAAATATTTACATTTATATAAATATTATCACATTTTTAGATGAATTGTGAATTGAAATATACAGCTTGAGCTGTATTTGTGTTAGCAAGGTATTATGAAGTAAAAATATTGTTACAACTCTAATATTCATCAAAATATGTAATATCATAATTTATATATATATCAAATTAACTTGAATTATAAAAACTCGATTTTTTATCAAAATATGTATGTAATATCATAATTTTTAATTTTCTTTTCAAATTTGCATTCACGTATCCAACGCAAAATAAAAAAGGAACTCAAAAAATAAATTTATAGTGTTGTAGTGTGTTTTCTTTTAGGGGACGAAATAGTTTAATAAAAAAGTCATAAACCCAGTAAGCGCTATCCAATTTGAACAAAAATTCGTACTAGCACATTTATGAATCTTATAAAGGTAAACATAATATTTTTTTTGTAAAATTGTTCAAAACTAAAAAAAATTTCTTATATTTACTATTATGTGTCTTCAGAATCACAAAATTCTCGGGAAAATTTTTAATAACTCAAAACTTTTTTAAGCAATTTTGAGTTTTTCTACCTTTTTGGAAAGACAATTCTGTAGACATTATGAGTTTGCTATAAAATGGTGCAATAATTAATACTTAAAGCTTCATTTTGTGAAAAAAACTCCAAAAAGTGTCATTTTCTCCCATATAAACGCAAACTTTGGCGGCGTTGCGCGGGCTCACCCTCAAAATAATTGAATAATATTTTACAGTTTTCCATTTGACGTTAAAATACAACATAATTTCATTATTAGAAGTTGATCCGAGAGAAAAGCTATTTTTCGACCCACCCTACTATTCAGTACTTTATTACATGCATTAATAAACAAACAAAGCCAGAGATCTTATTTTTTACTATAGGCCAATGTATGATTTAAAGCCTTTTTAGTTTTTTCAACCACCCAGTAGGGTTGTCAATTATTCGTGTTTAAAATTATTCGAATAAAAATTTACAATATTTTTTTTCGATTCGATAATCTATATCTATCTATATATATAAAAATGAATGTGTGTTTATTTGTTTGTTTGTGGGTTTGTTTGAAGTCTATAGACTGCTAAACGGCTGGACCGATTTTCCTGAAATTTTCACAGTGTCTTCCTGTATGTGTGGATGGAACTATAGGCTACCTTTTATTTCAAAATGTCAAGATCAGCAAATGTCAAAATCAGTATTAAAAGTCGCATATCTCAGAAACTGCAACAGCTAGAGTCGTCAAATTTTGTATGGACAATTTTGACATAGCTATGAACAATTGTGGGCAAAATGGGCAGATTGGGTATAGTGGGCGTGGCACTTCCTATATACAGAAAATATTAAATTAGTATTTCTGATATATGTATATGTATAAGATAGACACCTCAAATTTTATGACAGCCACTTTAGTAATAATATGAATGACAAAAATGGGCAGACTAGAAATAAGGGCGCGAGATACCCCCATGTGATTTAAGTACAAAATATTGTATATCTGAGAAACTATTAGAGCTAGAATCCTCAAATTTTGCAAGAACAATTTTGACATCCATGTGAACATTAGTGTAATAAATTGGCGGATTAGCAATAGGGGGTGTGACAACCAACCCCCCCTATTTGAATTAAGTACACAACTTCGTATATCTGAGAATCCATTAGAGATAGAATCCTCAAATTTTGTAAGAACAACTTGGACATTCATGTGAATATTAGTGGAATAAATTGGCGGATAAGCATTAGGGGGCGTAACACCCTCCATATGAAGAAAATACAAAATTTGCAAGAACAACTTGACACCTATGTGAACTACAACAAGATCTGAACTGTGGTACAAGTAGCTTCAGCATCAATATGAACATTTTAATAAAATGAAAAAATCACTTCTAAAACTGGAAGCATTATATTTTTAACATTGCAAAATATAAATTTTTATAAATTGCAAAAAGTATTAAATGTTTTGTTTCGATTATAACAGATCTTTAGATTTAGTATTTATTTTACAAAATATTAACGTGATTCTTTGTTCAATACTATAATAACATATTCGTAAAAAGTAACATTAAAATATTCGATTATTCGACAAAATTTGCTCGAACTATTCTTTATTCTAAATTGGAAATTTTGTATTCGCTTGAAGAAAAAATAAAATGTTTCCTCGATTAATCGAATAATTTTTATTCGAATGACAACCCTATAGTCCAGTCAGGTTTTGGTCGAATCAACGACGATATATTCAATAACTGAACATTACTGCTTCCAATAAAACACAAATTTTAATGATTCATTATTTTTTGTTTTGAAACATTTAAAAATAAAATAATATATTGTAGAAAATTAGTCGTTTTAGTACCACTGATCAGGCATGGAAAATTTAGTACTTTTTGATATCGGAAAATACCGCAGTACCCCAACGACATTTTCGGTACTTTTTCTAACTTTTAAACTTTTGATAAATTGTCTTGTCTATAGTCAAAAATCTTTTTGCCATAGTTGAGGTGTTATATAGTCTGTGTTATAGCCTTGTTTAGTCGAGTCTAGTCTAATGCAAGTCTATTTAGTCTAGTCTATAAAAATCTATAGTCTAGCGGAAAACTAGTTTAGTACTTAAAACCTAAATTTAAATTTTCCATGCGTGCCACTGATTTATAAATATAGTAAATATGTATTGCTCATTTACTACTTCAAGACTGGCATAATTCAAAATTCGGGTTTTGTGAACTGGACAAAACAAAAAGTCATGTATTTACGAATATTTGATAAGTAAAATTTTAATATAAATATAGTTGAAAAATATATTAACCTTCTCTACCTAAATTTGGTAATTTTTAAATTTAAAAATTATTTAAATAAATTTTAAATGCCATAAAACATTGAAAGCCGTTTTTCCCGAAAAGTTTTATTTTGGTTAGCCAGTCTTGTAGTTAATGATCTGAAAAGTACAATTGTATATTTTCCCATCTCTGTCAGTACAAAAAAAATGTTTTTCTGTGAACATATACTTATTTGTCGTACATAATTACATCAGAAAAAACAGTTGAATTAATATTATCGAAAAATAAATGATCATAATTTTCTTCTCTTTAATTTGTTGTATTATTTTATTTAAACACGTTCAAATATTTTAAATGATTTTTTATAAAGCACTTTTATTTATTACGCCAACAAACACACAAAATTCCAATAATTGAAAGAAAAATAAAAATGCTTACTGTTTATTTATATTTACATCCATGCACAAAAGAAGAAAATAATTTTTATAAATTCTCTAAACATTTGCTTTTTGTTGCTGTTAGTGTTAAGTTTAAATCAAATGTGTAGACATTGGTATACATATGAATTTAATTTGGTGGCGCTACAGCAAGACTACAGATTATTCTCTTTTTTTCTACTTTTTGTGGGTGTTAATTTAATTAAAATAACAACGCATTTTTTTATTATAACACAAAATTCAATATCATTTTTCTATTTGTTTGTGAATAAGTTAAGTGTTTTATATTTTGTCTTTTTTAATTGTGATTATTATGAATCATTTTAGTTTTTTATTATATTTATTCGTCTAGTTGACACTTTTAACGGAACCGATAAGTTTATTTAATCACATAGCAAACACTCGTATTGATTTTGGAATGTGTATGTATATGTACATATTTTTTTATTTCTTTCAATTCTCTGATGTTCTCACTACTTTACCGCTAAACGATCGCACAATGCGACTGTTGACTTGATACTATTTTCAATTAAATTTTAAAAGTAGATTGCAGTGTTGTCAACTCGTCCAAGAACAAAAGTACCGTGGCTCAAAAACGGGTCAAAAATTCCAAACCCGTGGGTAAATAAATTTACAATTTAAAAACATTTTTTTTTTGTAGATTTATTAAAATTAAGTCAAAAGGGCTTGCTTCATATAAAATAATTTCGTTTATTAACATAAAAAAAGTAGTGGAAAGTTCGTTAGCTATCATTAAATTTGGAAAAACATACTTTGAAAATCATCAAGCCTCAACAATCGAATAAGAAAATTAATTAATAATAAAATTATTGAAATTATATATGTATATAATATGTGTATAATATAACCAATAGTCTAATTGGTTATATAAAGATAGTTGTAGGAAAATTTGATAAATTTAAAAAATCCGTAGTATTATTTAAAAAAAAAACACTGTGATAAATTTTAAAAATCACTACAAATACCCGTTTATTTTTCAAAAACTACCTGAAAAACGCCGAATGGAAACACTGGTAGATTGTATAGTATACTTCAGGCATGGAAAATGAAAATTTTGAAATGGTACCGAACACCAACCACAAAAGTATCATTTAAACATAACAGAATGTTAGGGTTTTTTCTTGCATATCAAGACAGAACTTAAAGAAAATTTAATCAATTTGAATAAGTTATTTCGTTATGCGCTCTTTTCTATTTCCATGATAAGGACTTTTTGTTTGAGTTATAATTTTTATTTATAACTTTAGATTTATTACCTGTTTTACAACATATTAACGTAATTATTTATTCAATACTACTTACATATCGAGCCCTTTTTGCAAAATGGACGTAAGCGACTTGATTTTCGTTTTTTTTTTTATAGAAATCGATAATTTAGGTCTATTAGCATCATCTGTGAAAATTTCGTAGCTATAGATCCAATGGTTTCAACTTTACAAGAAAAAGAAAAAAGACTTAAGTACACATCTATTTTCTGTTTATGAATTTTGTAACAGCAAGTTGTCGGTTACGTCCAAATTTTCTTTTAAAATATATTAAATTTATAGAAAAATTTTGAACAAATTAACGTATTAAATTTGGTTGTGAATGAAATGCCACATATCTGAGTATAATTGTAATAAATTCATGTAATTATCACTATGCCATTGCAATTTATGTGCTAAAATTTATAATTTTCTATAACTTTTTATGAATTTAGTTCATTCTAATTACTAATTACGTTGCATTTATATTATTACCATTTAACCAACTCTTATATTTGGTTGTAAATTTGTGGATTTCGGAAGGCGTACCTGTATATGGACTCTTAATGAATCAATAGTCCCAGAATTTACTGTTTTTTTTTAGAATTTCATCAGGCTTTCTTAATTTTTGAAAGAACTCATCCTAAAACATCATCATACATCAAATTTCGTTGCTATACTGATATTTTTAAGACAGTTATGGTCATAAAATCATTGTCTTAAAGGGTCCACATATGGAGGCGAAGGTCAAATATTGCATGACATCTGTCATACTTCCCAAAATAATTTACAGGTACATATATATAACCGACTTCTGCAAAATTTTATAGCGATTGCTACATAATGTTTTAACTATAATCCGGGAGGTACTTGTATGGGGGCTAATTGAATTTTGCCCATTATTAACACAAAACAATATTTGTCATTAATAAGCATTTTTGGAGAATTTCATCACTCTAGCTCATAACGTTCGGAGCCTATCGGGTTTCAACAAAAAAACTGACATACAGACATCGCTAGATGTATCTACTTCGAAGATAATTAAAAAATGCTCTCCTGTAAAATTTAGTTTTTGTCGGTTACGTCTTTTGTGCAAAAAGGGCTCGATATAATGAAATAGTAATAAAATGTAATTATAAATTATTCGATTAATCGACAAATAATTGTCGAAGTCTTTATTCTAAATTGACAAAAAAAATTGCAAACACAATTTTGTATGTTCGATTGTTTAATCTGTTTGAAAACATAAATAACTGACATTTTTATACATATGGAAACAGCGAATCTTGGTGTTAAGTAAGGCGACCAGATTTTGCAAATGAAAATAGATCACATAAAGAAAAGAGTAAAACAATTTTTTAAATTAAATTTTTTACATCTTTTACAGAAAAAGATTATGATCATTTTTATGCATTTGTTTTATTTGAATATAAATAAATCAAATTTAAAGATTTTTAGAAGGAAATTTATTAAAGAAAATTACGTATTTAATTCCAATGTGAAAACTTCCCAATTCCAGTTATCTATGTATTTTGAAAATAATCACAATATTCCTTTAATTAAAGATTTTTACGTTAAAAGATGTATATTTTTTTAAATCTTATAAATATCCAAATAACGAATATTTTGCGACAATTTTTAATAAATAAATAAATACAAATATTGATAAATATCTAATATAGCATTCTATTTAACATACATACATACATACATACACTGACTCAAATAAGTCTCCGTACAGTATGTAGTTAAAAACATAATTTGTTATATTTTATAAAATATTTCAAGCTATTTGACTCTTATGAGTTAATAAATTATTTTTTAATTTACAAAAATAAATATTGATCAAGGTTTTAAAAATTAAGATGACAAAAAATGACATATTATGGAAATAGATAACAGAAAGAGGACAAACATTTTAAAGATGGCAGAAAAACGCGTTTATAATAATAAAAATAAATACAAATTGTATACTTACATTCCTTTTTTGTAAAATTTTTCAAGAGTTTGAACATTTGCAATTGCAATTTGAATAACATATGTAATAAGAAAATGTTGTATATTTTCAAAACCCGTGTTTATACACTTGATTTTTTATATAAATTTTTTAGCAAGTTAACAAATAAACGTTACTCAAAAATGCTCCACTTGAATAGAACGTGTTTATGTCAGTTTTTTGTGAGTAAAACATATTGATTAACGCTCTAAACCCGGTTAAGATGACTCGTATAGCTTGTCTATCGCTTCAGACTTGTTTGATGAAACAGTAAGTTCAGGAATAATTCAATTCTTTTATATAGATTCCTAAACTTTCCGAAATAACAGTTTATTGGATAAAATTTAGACTTGAATTCAACGATTATACAGACAGACGGACATAGCTTAATTGACTCCTCCATTTGGATCCAAAATAGAGATAATAATATACATTGCAGTGTCGGAATTTTTTGTAGAAATTATAAATGCAATGATAAACTAATACATATACATATGTATATATACATATATGTATGTATATGTATGTATGTATATACACTAGGGTGGATCGAAAAAGAGTTGAGTCAGTCACCCTCTACGATTAAAGATATGTTTATAACATTTCCAAAAATATAAAAAATACTTTTTTGCTACGCCTAGAAATTTAAGTCTGATCGTAACATATCATAAATCAATATTTATGGCTTGACTGTAGCTACATACAATTTCATTTCTAGACAATTTTTTAATTCAACGTCATAATCTATGTCCGACTTCTGATATCTCGGATCCTTCCCCAAAATCTAAAATTGTGGCTATACTGGAATAGAGTACATTCAATTATATGAAATATTAGCTTTTAAAATCCTCACTTTTATACATAAAGAGCTATTTTACAGGTATTTAAAAATACCTGTATAGTAGTGCTGTTAAAGTATTGAGTAGTGGGTATCGAGTATTTGCCCTATTTTTTTGGGTACTCAATACTAAAAAGTAGTTACTCACTACTTTCAGACTTGTATATGGATTTAACTTATTTAAATTTAACGGCTATGATGTGAAAAAATACAGCTCTACAACTAATACAGATCATATTATTATTAGAAATGCAACTCTTAACAATATCAAATCAATGTAAAAATAATTTAAAAACTGCAACATAGTTAAAAAGTTACAAATATTTATTGACGCAATCTAAAAAAATAAAATGTCTCAAAAGATGTGTGATGACTGGTCTATCTTTACTTAATTCCTCGTTTTTAATTTAAAATAAAACCGTTAAAAGTATCGAGTAGTATTGAGTACCCAAACGAAAAGTATTGAGTAGTATTGAGTACAATACTACAAACAAATAATTTGCTAGGGAAATGGTCGAACCCAATATATCTGTTCATTAATTAATTTACAATACAAAAACACTAAAGTGTAGTAACAGTGATTGTGAACAGATCTTTGCAGCAAGTCATAAGTTTATGTTCTCAATGAAAAAAAAAACAATCAAAACAAATATACATAAGAATGTCAGAAGATAAAAAAATCAAAAAATATTAAATTAATTAAACATGCGAAATAAACAAAATTAATTTCTTTGAATTTTCATTTCTTTTATTTTCTTTATTCCACATTTTAAACTAATAAATAAACTGTTTTTAATAAAATTTTAGTTTTTTTGTTTTGGTAAACAGCTGTTTGTTTTTGATTTCAGTGTTACCACTTTATCGTTTTTTTATGCTAAAATCGTTTGAATTTTTTGTTTATATGTTGAAATAAACAATTGGCAACACTAAACTTTCTTACAACATTCGAAAAACATGAAAAATTGTCGTAGGAGTTATATAGAGCTTTTGCATAGAAAATACCAACAACATTGTTATGACTATTGTAGCAGCTGCTGACATACAACGCATACAACGCTACAACATCGATTGTGAATTGAACAAATGTTGTTGGTATTTTCTATGCAAAAGCTCTATATAACTCCTACGACAATTTTTCATATGTTTTTTAAAAGTTGTAAAGAGTTTCAGTATTGCCAATAGTTCATTTTAGCACATAAACAAAAAACTAAACAAATTTTAGTTGCAAAAACAACAGAATGGTAACACTATAAACATGAACATCAAAACAAAAAGAAAATAAATTTGAAGTTTATACATAATTCAAAATTAAAAAATTGAAATTAGCAATTAAATATGGATATTCTGGATAATTTTGAGGTAAGTTTTTTTATATTATTAAATTATTTTAATATTATTTTTGTTTTATAGCCTAAACCAAAACGTGTTCGTTTAAATCCGCCAAGAAAGTGGTCTGTGGCCGAAGAAAAGAGTATTGGAATTTCTCGTGGAAAATAGGGACTTTGAGGTAAGTAAAATTGGTTTAAATTTGTATTGCTTAACGCAGAAATGTATCCATTAACATTTTATAGAAACCAACAGCCCAGGTTTATTATAAGCGCTTCGCAGAGCAAAAGAACGTGTGCGTGGAATGGAAACAAGTGAGATCCAAAGTTAGGAATATGCGGGTGTCTTATAATAAAGCAAAAGCATGGGAAGGTTCGACTGGAGCGGGAAGCATGGAAGGTGAAACAGTAAAAGGTAAGTATCAAAATCGATAAAATATATATTTTTTAGCAATTAAATATGGATATTCTGGATAATTTTGAGGTAAGTTTTTTTATATTATTAAATTATTTTAATATTATTTTTGTTTTATAGCCTAAACCAAAACGTGTTCGTTTAAATCCGCCAAGAAAGTGGTCTGTGGCCGAAGAAAAGAGTATTGGAATTTCTCGTGGAAAATAGGGACTTTGAGGTAAGTAAAATTGGTTTAAATTTGTATTGCTTAACGCAGAAATGTATCCATTAACATTTTATAGAAACCAACAGCCCAGGTTTATTATAAGCGCTTCGCAGAGCAAAAGAACGTGTGCGTGGAATGGAAACAAGTGAGATCCAAAGTTAGGAATATGCGGGTGTCTTATAATAAAGCAAAAGCATGGGAAGGTTCGACTGGAGCGGGAAGCATGGAAGGTGAAACAGTAAAAGGTAAGTATCAAAATCGATAAAATATATATTTTTTATTGATTAGCCATGTCCGTCCATTAATCTACATTTGAAAGTGACATTGCAATTCGTTTAAAATTTGTAATTCCGTTTGTAACACATCGAAATATTGGTCTTAGAACAAAATTACATATACTCTGGGTTCTTTTTAAATTCTAATGATGGCGGACATAGTCTATATTTTCTCTTACATGCCTGAATACCTTACTTATTTTAAATTTTATTTTTTAGCAACTTTATTGAAAATGTGCTGTTATTATGATGAGCTGGATGATATATTTGGTTCTAAAATTATTGAAACAGCAGTAATAGAAGAAAGTTTAGATGAAGAATCTGATGGAAGTTTTCTAAATTCCACAGAAATATATGTGGACGACACCACCACTGCATCAGATAGCTCCTTACCAGAGACTAAGCAGTCATGCAGCCGTAAAGGCATTTATTCCCGAACTGTAGTGTAAGATATTATGAAAATGCAGACGGAAATTATGGTTTTAAAAAAAGAAAAAATGGAACACGAAAAAGAAATCAAGGAAAGGGAAATCGCTATCAGAGAAAAAGAGATCAAGATAAAGGAAAGGGAATTAGAATTAAAGATGAAAGAGCTGGAAACTCAAAAGGAATTAAAAATAATGGAACTACAAATGAAAGAAAGATTAGCTACGGAGGAGTTGCGGTTAAAATACGCAAAATAAAATATTTAAAACTTAATGAACTAAAGATCAAACTTTAAAAAATCAAAAACGATTTAAAACAAAACCTTATAATATCATAATTATAAAATCTATATTCTAGTATATAGTCTAATCTATAATCTAGTCTATAGTCTAGTCGATAGTCTAGTCTATAGTGTAGTTTAGTCTATAGTCTTGTCTAGTTTATAGTCTAGTTTATAATCTAGTCTATAGACTAGGCTACAGTCTAGAATAAAGACTTGACTATAGACTAAACTACACTATAGACTAGATTATAGACTAGACTATAGACTAGACTATAGACTAGACTATAGACTAGACTATAGACTAGACTATAGACTAGACTAGACTATAGACTAGACTATAGACTAGACTATAGACTAGACTATAGACTAGACTATAGACTAGACTATAGACTAGACTATAGACTAGACTATAGACTAGACTATAGACTAGACTATAGACTAGACTATAGACTAGACTATAGACTAGACTATAGACTAGACTATAGACTAGACTATAGACTAGACTATAGACTAGACTATAGACTAGAATATAGACTAGACTATAGACTAGAATATAGACTAGTCTATAGACTGGACTATAGACTAGTCTATAGACTAGATTATAGGCTAGATTTTTTAAATATTCTATTGAAATTAAAAAAATAGATTTTTATTTTATCTTTAAATTTGTCTTTCTAATTTCAAATAATTTATTTATAGAAAGAAAAAAAATTTAATAAAAAATGATTTTATTTAATTAATGAAGAGGCTTTGTATTTAATAAAAAGGATAACAATTTAATTTTAAGTGTTTTGTATAAAATTAAACAAATCATTTCTATTGTTAACATTTTGTTGTGGCATAAAATTTGAATGAACATTTTCACTGATGTTTTTATTATTTAATTCTATAACAATGTTATGAAGTATACAGCACACCATTATCCAGTCATTGCACTCTTTCTTATTTTCTTCTCCTAACATTCGAAACTTTAATTCCTTTAAGCTTCCGAACTTTTCTTTGAGTAGCCCAAAACAATTTTCAATCCGAACGCGATATTTTGAAAAATATTTATTAAACTTTTCTCTTTCCTCTAAAGTGTGCTCTGAACTATTCCGTCTAAATGGTGTAATTAAAAAGTTCTTTAAAGGATATGCACTATCTCCGGCCAGCCATTGGGAACTAGAAAAATACCTCTCCGGGTGTTTTGCAAGTGGAGAATGTAAAAAAATTTTAGCGTCATGAACACTTCCAGGATATCCGATTGTAACTTGCCTGATGGACAATTTATAGTCACACACGGTTTGGACTTTAATAGCATATTGCCTTTTTCTTGAAAAGTAAAGCTCATGATTTTTGTGTGGAGCTTCGGCAAGTTTTATTTCAGAGCCATCAATGTAGCCAATACATCCAGGCAATTCCTGTTGTGTTTTTAAAATTATTGCCATTCTTTCGGTTTCACTTGGCCAATACAAAAATTTTTGTAATCTTCTGTATTGTGCCGCCATCACCTATTCCAAAAATGGATGCAACTTTGCGAACAGATCCTCCATCACCTAAGCGAAAAAGTACAATTTTCAACTGCAGCTCAATTGGAAATTGCGTTTTGCGCCATTTTGTGTTGAATACATCGTCATCTTTAATTAAGTCCAGGATGTAGGCAAATTCCGAGGGAAGCAATCGAACCATTTGATTAAATCTATTATCGTCAAAATAGTTTAGAACTTTATTGTTCCATGCTGTTGATTTTGGCAATCCTAGGTGAACACTTCGGCGGTTAACGGATAGATAAAGCATATTCATTCTAAAGTTTTCCAGGATTTCACCCTCTTCTTCCTCATCACCTGCAAATAACTTTTTCTAGTAAATGATAAAAAAATACTTCTTTCCACTTACCAGAATCCAGTGTCAACATTTCAGCATTATATTTTTCGCACAATGCAACAATTATTTTGTTTTTTTCACTTGAATAGCTCATTTTAATTATTTATTTGTTTTATTTACCTTTTGACTTTTCTGTTTTAATTGTTTTTTCTTATTGAAAAAATAAGTTTACGACTTGGCGCAAAGTACTGTTCACAATCACAGTTGTTATATTTCAGTAGCTAAAACATACAACATCGATTGTGAATTGAACAATTATTTTATAAAAATTAAAGAGTTAGGCTAAGTGTTATAAAAATATTTTATGATTTTTTCCATATTCGTCTTGGGGCGGACTTTCAATGGGGGCTTGGCACTTCCCATATGAATTAAATACAAAATTTCGTACATCTGTTAAACTATTAGATTATAAAAATTGTTCATTGTTTGCATTAAAATCTTAATTAACGTTCGGGAAAATTGGCTAACTTGCAATAATTTGCGTGGCATCTCTCATATGTAACTAATTGTAAGAATCTTCAAAATCGTTAAGTGGGTTTTTTATTTATATTGCTTTTAGGGTAGCAAAGCACACTAGTTTTGGATAGACACCATTGTACTATGGGTCAAAGAGCTAATCTGGGATATATGATAACTTTGTTTTTTTAATAAACATATATATAACAAATATTACTTTTGTTTTTGTCTATAAAATTATATGTTTAACTTTTTAGGATCATATAATTTTTTTTAACACCGAACATATTTTTCTTCCTCCTGAAAAATTTGCATAGATGAACTTATGCCCATTTCGTAAAGACTGCTTCAATTAACATCCATACGTTCAACACTTCTTTCTGTTGAAAAACGCAAATATTTGAAATCTTAAATATTGTATGAAATTGTCAATATATCATTGTCAATATATCATTACAATAAAAATTACTAGACATTGAGAGAATGGTGTAAATCTACTAATATTAAGTGAAACAAGTTTTGTTTTTTGGATTTTTTTGCTATTGCAGAGCTTCCATTATTATTTGCACTTGTACTTAATTATATGTACAATGTAGATGAATTTAATTTTGTTTTATTAAGTAATTTACTCACAATTTTAGTATTTTTTCTTTTACAATTATATATAATATTCATAATGTATATATATATATGTTCTATATATATATACTATATATGTTCTTACATCTCAATTTCTCATTATTTAAGACTAAAAAACTACAATTTTAATTTATTACTTATTTTTATTATATTCAGTCAATGAAATTCAATGTTTATCCTTATTTTTGGTTTTTTTACTTAAAAACTTAAAAAACGAAATCTAATGAAAAATTAAAAGAGAAAAGTTATTTTGCTTGCTGCAAATATACATAATAAGATAAATAAAAAACTATGTTAATTGTTTGCTAAAATAACAGCCTGTAACAATTTTCAAAACAAAAAAACTTTCACACATGGAAAATTCGATATACATGGTGTTATAAATAATTAAATAATATTTCTTGTTTTTAATTCAAAATCTAAGTATTTGTTTTTTTTTTGTTACATTTCTTTCGTAATCAAATTTGACTTAAATATGTTAATAATTATGATAAGATGATATACATACATACTTAACCCACTTTGTTTATCTCGTATTTATGTATGTGTATATTAATTTTAGGGTGTAATTTGTTTGCGGATTTGACGAACGGTGTAGGATTTAAAATATGTTTAATATAAATTTTGAGAAAGAAAATAGTTATCGGATGATTGAGTTGATTTGAGTTGTTTCTTTTTTGGCAAAAATTGCACTTAAATTTAATTTATATATGTTTTTTTATATTTTTCTTTTTTTACAATCGAATAGGAGCTCTTCTTTTTTGGATGTTTCTATTTATTTATTTTTTAACATTTTGTTTTATAAATGCTGAGAAAATAATAAAAAATATAGTTAAATTACTTTGAATATTTCATCTGTTTTTAATTGATGCTTATATACAAATATTTGTGAAAATATATAGTACGAACACATCAATATGTATGTATGTATGTATGTATGTATGTATGTATGTATGTATGTATGTATGTATGTATGTATGTATGTCAGATGTATGCATTTTATAATTCTTAAGTTTTTGAAAAATTTTTATAGCGAATTTGCATTATTATGTTATTTAAAAATAATTTCCTCTTGCTACAAGTTTGAACTGGAGGTATCAATAGATGTTTTAAGTTATCACGAGTTTAGTATTGACATCGACATTGACTGGTACTAATATTAAGGTCCTACAAGTCCTGGTTTGTCTGATATTTAATTTTTAATCCTGCAAGCGTTATGCTCAAGAACCCAGTGACTTTTTTTGCACTATTTTTTATTTTTATAATTCCTTTTTATGTTTGTATACATTTGAAATCATTTTTCTTATAATTTAATAGTTTTTACCAAAGAATAATAAGAAGTTGGACTATGACATTGTTTTACAACAATAACATTTCCTTCTCTTCACAGACGAGTTCTGTGTAAATTCAACACACTTGTGAGAACTCAATTCTCTCACAATACTTCAAAACTTCTTCGCGAAAATACCGGGATAATAGGACTTGAACGACGTTTTTTCACAAACACATAACTATTTTTTAATTTTTTATACAATTTTATCGCATTTAACAATCCGAAATATTTTTATTTTTCACAAACTAAAAAAATATTTTTTTAATTTTTTTGACAATTAATTTTTGTGTGTTGAAATTAAAATTGACAAAACAAAGTTGTATATTTTAGTATTGAAAATGAAAAAATTATTTAAAATAAACTTATTTTTTTGCAAAAAAAGAGATTTTAAGTCCGAAAAATATATTTATTAAATGTTTACTGATTGGATGTGGGCAAAATAAATTAAAAAATCTGCGAATGTAGAAATTTAAATGTTATTTATTTTTCCTAAAATTTGTATGTACGATTTTATGCAAGTATGTATGTTTGGAAAGTGTGGTGAAAGTGGTTGGAGCTCCAATACTAATACAAAAATTCTACCAATACATACTTAGAGTTAGGTACCGAATGACAACTCCTTTACGTACCAACTGACAAGCCCCAATTTCTTTATATTCTTTGGTTTTTACCATAATAAAACAATGATTGTATCATGGTTTTTACAAATTTTATTTGAATAAATCAATGACACTTTTTAAATTATTTTTGAAATCATTTTCAAATTGATATCAATCGATCATGAATGGCGATAATTCAATAAAATAAGTTTTAAATGTCTCAAAATATATTTCAGAAAAAATCTTGAATGTATCCATACGGATATATAGCGAAAGGGTTAACTGAATACAAATACTGGGGGGTTACTCCGTATTTCGATTCGAAAGAAAAAGCTTTCGATACAAAATGTATTTAACATATATGTATGTATGTATTTTTGTAAATTCGATATTCTTCTTTCGAATCGAGTTACTGAGTAACCCACCTGATGATGCTTCGAACACAAAAAATCCCAATCAAAAAGTGCAGACAAGTAATAATATGTTTGCAAGGGAGCTAAAATACTTAATTCGCGCTCTATTACTATTGGGAATTAACTCGTTCTTGCGATACATTTGACAAAAATTAAAAGAACTCAAAACGAAATAAAAACACTAAATAAAAACAGTAATCCTTGTATGTAAAAACCCTTGTTTACTAAAAATTATCTAGTTATCTGCAGTAGTTTTTTGTAAAAAATTCAGCAGAAGAGCAGAAAAGCATATTGTTGACTGTTGTATAGATTTACCCCCGCATTCACAAAGATATTAATCGTTTATTTTAGGTTTATTTCTCACATTTTTCAGACACAATTCCTACAATGAATCGTAAACAATTTTATTAAGCGTTTTTAAATATGGGAGTAAGTTATCAGAACATTTGTTCATATAGTTTTATCTATTTTTATTTTCGGTTTAAGAGCGATTTTTAGTTGTAAACGCCATAACTGAAACTCTTCTTTTCATAAATATTTGAAAAGTAAAAATTTTATTAAAATTTATATTAAGTTCACACATTCGTGTTTTTGGAAACGCATTATGTTTTTTCAAAAAAACACTTTAAATTCGACTCGTTTTCCCATACATTTTACATGTTCAAAAACATCTCATTCTACGTGTTTAATTATAAAACACATACGCTTGTATTGTTTAACTTGGCAGCAGTGTTGCGTACAATTAGTATAAAATATTCGTTGATTCGGTTTTCTCAATTTCATATATTTGTTTATAATAGATTTTTAACAATAAAAACGAACTTTTTTTAATAAATGTTTATTTAGATCAAATGTATAAATATAACATATTATTTCTAATTATTGTGAAAAGTTTCCGAATAACGGATATTTTGCGACAAAAAAAATCACTATTGCATATTTTCTTATTTTTACTTGTTTTCCTTGTAATATAATACATATAATTAATATAATACACTCATTGTGTTTTTCCAAAAACACGTTAAAAACATGAATATGAGAACCAGGGTTGGCAGAATTGGTACAATTGTACTTTTTTCGTATAATTCGATCTTCAAAAGTACAATTGAATTGACCTATTTTGTACAATTTCAAAATATGTACTTTTATTCCCTTATTGAAATGATAATTTTAAAATTGTACTTTTAACACAAAGATCTACCGACTTCGGCCAAATTTTTACTAAACGTCGGAAGTGGATATTGTAAACAATCCTGGAATTAGTCTTTGGTCTAGTATATAGACAATTCTGTAGAGCAGACAATAAACTAATCTAATGTCTAATCTATAGACTAGTCATTTGTCTAGTTTATAGACTAGAGGATAGTCCATAGACTAGTCAATAGACACTGTCTATTGACTAGTCTAAGAACAAGTGTATCGACTAAATGGTCCTATTCATTGACTACTCTCATGACTAATCTATACAATTAAAGTACTTTTAACTAGAACTTTAAAGTATTTCAAGGACTATTCTCTGAAGTCTTTGGACTTGTATAAAAATTCTATAAACTAGTTTATTGTCTAGTTATAGACTAATCTCCCGTCTATTCTATAGAATAGCCTATTGCCTAGTCAATGGACTAGTACATTGACTAATGAACTTACTTATTGATACATACAAATATTGATTAGTTCTGGCTGGCTTAAATTT